AGTTTCTATATTTTTGTAATAAAAACATTGATACAGTAAATTATTTTACAATTATAACAACAGGCTTTATAGTTTAAAAATCATTCAAAATATGTTGCCTCTATCAATATGAATATTATTTAAACATTCTTCTAATTCAGTAAAGAGTTAAAATGTTAAATCTGAGGCACTGAAATACAGCATTTAAATCTTCCAGCTATCTTGTATAATATACTCTCCCTGATTTCTGATTGAAAATCTAATACTTAGTTCAATTTTTCATTATTTTCTTATTGAAAAATGAAAACATTTGACTCAGATAATTTCTGTGATTTTAGCTTAACTATATATCATATGTTTTCATATGCTTGAATTTTAGTTTTGATGACTACTGGATTTAAATTATTTAGAGGACTGTTTTAAATGCCCAAGATAATACTGTGGCTTTGTTTCCATAGGTGTTTACTTATGCTTTTATTCCTTATTTCATGACTTGTTTCTAATTTGTAATTTTTAGAAGGTATTAGGGTCATTTATAATACAATATAAATCCTTGAAAAGAAAAGATATTATCTACTCTTTAGAGACTACAGTACTTATGTACTGTATATTGTTAATTATATAATTCTAATTTTGTTGTCACTTACTTGATCTGTGATGTGCAAAGGCAGTTTAAATAGTCTGATGTGTAATTCTTATTGTGTTTCCTGAAGTTATTGTGTCTTGTTTTTTTATGCTGTTTTATTTGGAACTATGCTTTTTGAGAATTACATGACTTGGATTTCATTTAATGCTTTAGATTCTGAGATCAATTTTGTCTGCTGTCAATACTGATGGCCCTAACTTTTTTATTGGTTATATTTGCCTCAAGTATTTATGCTCATATTTTTACATTCAAAGTTCTTAGGCGTATGTCTTGTATTTTGTTTTATTATCCAAACTGAGTTTTTAATTAATTTAATACTTGATTTTATCCCATTTTATGATCTTACCATACAAGCGTGACTATAAATGTCAGACTATTAGATATTATATTTTATGGTTTCTTGTTATTTGAAATGTTTTATATACAGACATTTGCTGATTTAAATTTCCTCCCAATTTTTTCATGCTTCCTCCCTCATTCTTTTATTTGAAATCGATTTTTAAATTAGTTGCTTACAGTTTATAGAATTTTATATTTATAGCATTTCTTTTATGAATTATATGTTACATGGCCTTTCATTTTATAATAAGAGTTACCAGTCACTTTGATTCTATTGCCTATGTAATAATTTTAATTCCCTCCCCTCCCTTCCAGTCTACGCCATGATAGAGTTTCATTTCAGAGTTCCTTATTGGGCACCAAATCTTGGTCAGATAGTGTACCTTATTGAGAAGGATTTTTCAAGAAGAACTCGTGGGTGCTTTATTATCTGAATTTTTTATGTTTTTAGGTGTCTGTTCTTGTTATAGATGGATAAAACGTGGCTAAATATAAGATTCTTGGGTTATGTTTCAGAAAACTATAGATCAGCACCATCCAGTAAAACTTTCTGATCTACACCTGCCATATCCAGTAGAGTAGCTACTAGTTTTGTGTTGTTTTGTTTGATTGTTTGTTTGCTTAATGAATTCTGAAGTTCAATGATTGGGTATATATGTAATTATTAATAGTATTATGACAAATTTCTGGTTTGACCCTTTTATTATTATAATAATTTCTCCTTTTCACTTAGAACACTCTTGGTATTGTCTACTTTTATTATGACATTGCCACACCAGATTTCTTGTGTTTACTCTTTGCATGCTACATATTTTTTTCCACCTGTTTACTTTAAACCTATTCATATCTTTACATTTCAAGTATGTTTCTTGTAACTGTCACATAAGCGGCTATGGGGAGAAATAGAAAGGTGGGATTACATGGGATTACAAGGGATAACAAGGAAACTTTTGGGGGATGATGGTGTGCTCACTAACTTGAATGTGGTAGTGTTTCTGCAGATGACATTTATCAAATCTTACACTTTAAATGCACTTTGTTTATTGTATATCAATTAAGTCTCAATAAAGAGAATCCACCTCTTTTACTTACTTGCTTCAGTTTCTTCTCAATTTAAAACAGGCAAAATTATAGTTTCTCTGTAAGTCGGCAACTATGGTCAAAAGAAGCAATGCATAGCGATATTCACCATAGTCACAATATGGAAACAATCTACATGTCTCTTGATGAATGAATAGATAAAGAAGATGTGATATATATACACAGTGGAATACTATTCAACCTTAAAAAGAAGATAATTATACCGCTTGTGACAATATGGATGAAACTGGAAGACATTATGCTAAGTTAAATAAACCAGGCACAGAAAGATAAGTACTGCATGATCTCATTTATATGTGGATTCTAAAAAGACCAGATTCATAGAAACAGAGAGTAAAAGAGTAGTTACCAGAGGGGATGGGTTGAGCGAAATGGGAAGGTGTTGGTTAAAGGATATAAATATTCAGTTATAAGATGAATACATTCAGGAAAACGAATGCACAACATGGTGACTATACTTAATAATATTGTATTGTATACTTGAAATTTGCTAAGAGGGTAGATTATAAGTATTCTCAGCACACACACAGGAAAACACACACACAGTTAACTATGTGAGGTAATGAATGTATAAATTAGCTTGATTATGGTATTCATTTTACAAAATATACTTACATGTTAATCACATTTACATCTTAAATATATACAACTTTTATTTGTCAGTTATATCTCAATAAATTTGGAGAAAAATTGAACAATGCATGAGAAGCATATAACTTGGTGAGTGCTCACTGAATGTTTGCTTTTATATTTTACATATTTTGGAGTTTCTATTACATTGATTTATCATGTATACATCGTTGTTCAAAATTTTACAAAGCCTATTACAGTTTCATAAATTGCAAATACATCACTTAAACCTCCTTCTTTATTATTCTTGATTTCCAAATGTATTTTCTATTCTTGCTAGGGGTTTTGGTCTCTTCACCCACAGTCATAAACAGGATACCTTTGCTATTTTCATTGAAATTACATTAAATTTCAAATTATTTTAAAGGAGAAATGTTATCATTATGAATTTATTTTGAGTAATTAACATTGTAACTTTATCAGAAAAAAAACTTTAATTATATTACAGAACTATTCCTTCTGAATGAGATGCCAAATGAGTGGATTAACTTAATTTTTAAATTTAAATCTGTTACTCGAAATTACTATACTAGTTTGGATTTGATACACTAATTACATATGTGTAATAGAATCACCTGTTTTGAATTGAAAATTGCTTCTGTAATTGTTCTCCATCTTATAGATCCTGCCATTCTAGTCTGCTTTGGAAACATTCTGTGGGTAGATGACAAACCTCGCCGCATTTAGTTATTAGAAAATCATTTTTCCCAGATTCCCACTGAAGTCAAACAAAAGGCTAAGCATAAATTATGAGATATCTCCCTTCAAAAACATATATTTTGCTGTTCTTTATATCATAGTCCATAGCTAGGAGTTAACACATCAAAAAGTGTTCTTAATGAAGGCCAGCTATTACAATATCTCACTATCAAATTACAATAAAATTGAGATTTTTAAATGTGCTCCTGGAACAAAATGATCAGTATATGTGGAACTCAGCTTATTACGGCACCTGCTGTGGCTCTGACTGAAGTCAAGAGGCTGATAGATGAGCTTTGTCTATTCGGGTCTTAGGGGCCTCAAAGTCACTTAGATGGATGACTGCTTATGGAGAGCAACATAACATTTTTGTACAGGACGAGAAATCTAGCTTGGCGCCAATAGACTGCAATGCTTGCCTAAACTCAATATTCAGATCATGACTATTTAATTTATCTGTCAATGACTTGTTCCTGATTTGCATTACACCTATTTGGCATCTCTATGCAGACGGTATAGTCAGTTTTGCATTCAATGTAATGGAAGAGTGTTCTGAGCATTTAAGAAACATTTTTTTTCTAATCCAATTTTTATTTCATTGAGACATTTATGTTTTAATTGATGCAGCTAGAATTCAGATATAGTGACATAGGAACCAAAACCCATAAATATTCCCATAACTTGGCAGTCCCATGGTGGTTTAAATTAACCTATGGGATTCAAGTTAAACCAGTACATCAAACAAAACAGAGTAAAAAAGAAAGGTACTTGTAAACAGGTCTAATACTAATACAGAATACATTCTTAAATTTTATGTAATAGATAGGCTCCCATTCATAACTAAACAGAATATAAGGCCATATTCTTAGAAGCTTTTTGAAATAATATGCTCCTTCTAAGTTATGATAGAACTATGCTAAATCATACATTATATTAAATAATATTTGGCAAAGGCCCTCGATATGTTTTATTTTAATAATCTATGTTTAAGATAAAATACTATTAACTTGCTTCGTACTGATATCATACAGGCCTAAAGCTTTGGTAAAACAATCAACAGACAAAATGATGTTTAGGATAATAAGTTGTGATAAATGTATTAGTCAGCTTAGGCTGCATAGCAAAATACAATAGACCAGGAGGATAAAACAAAAGAATTTATTTATCACATTTCTGGAAGCTAACAAGTCCAATATCAAGTTGGCCACTAAGTAAGTTTCATTCTGAAGTATCTCCTCTTGACTTGAAGAGAGCCACCATCCACTGTGAACTCACATGACCTTTTCTTTGTGCAAATGCTCAGAGAGAAAGCAAGTTCTCTGGTGTCTTTTCTGAGAAGACACTAAGCCCATCAGACTGAGGCCCCACCCTCATGGTGTCATCTAATATTGATTACCTCCCCGAAGTCCAATTTCAAAATACCCAGATTGGCTCTTAGAACTTCAACATGTTATTATTATTATTATTATTATTATTATTATTATTATTTTGTGACAAGGTCTCAAAATACTGAGGCTGGAGTATAGTACTACAATCATAGTTCGCTGCAGCCTGGAACTCCTGGGCTCAAGCCATCCTCCCACTTCAGCATCCCTAGTAGCTGGGACTAAAGACAAAGTCAGGAGTTTGAGACCAACTTGGCAGACATAGTGAGACCCTGTCTCCAAAAAACAATTAGAAAGACAATGTGGGACGAATAGTTAAGCCCATTTTAGAGACTTTACCATACTTAAAAATTGTCCTCCAAAAAGGTTATATTAGAGTACATCATCAACACGGCACATGAGTGTCTGTGTCTGAACCTTCTCTGAGTTAGTGCACACTTGTAGGTAGTGTCGTTCTGTTGAAACAGCCAGAAGTCACATCTTAAAACAAATCTGATGAATCAAGAATTTGTTGAACCCAGTTAGATTTGGTTTCCTTCTGCAGAATCTGTCTGTAAACACCAAAACATTTAGTCAGCTTATAAAATTCAGTAAACAAATTAAATTCATTGTAGATTTACTTTTTAGAAATAAATTCAGTTGACATGATAATACAGATATATTTAATAACAAAGGTAATAAATGTTAATAATAAATATTTAATAATGAAGAAATACTTGCAAAACTACAAGTTTAAAACTTGTATAAACTTATAAAACATGGCAAATAATTTGCCATTTTATTTAAAAATATCACTTATTTTCTAATAAAGAAATGCTACCCTTCTACTATAATCTTAATCCTGACAGGCAAATTGTCACCCTGGTTGAAAACTGTATAGTAGCTTTGATTCACTGTCCATAGCCACCTGTTATCAAAAACAAAGCATTAGATAGTGTTAATAATCCCTACTTTGAATGTTGCTTGACTTCCACAGCATCAGTTGAAATAACTATGTCCACAGAAATTAACTTTAAAAATGATAGAAGTTTATTGAAAAAATATCCATCTGCCTTCTATATGAGATCAGAGATTAACCACCTACTAATTTTATCAGCCTTTAATTTACTCTTTAAAAATATCTGGAAAAATATTTTAGTATCTCTTACAGAAAGAATGACATTATCTGCAATATCTGAATCTGTGTGATGATTCTTTCAGGATTGGTTTAATATGATTCAGGGTGGTCAATTAAATAAGCTCTTCTATTGTTCTGGCTGAATAGTGATTTGATTTTCCAAGCCTACTAATCCATTATTTTAATTAGCATTAAATTCGTAAAAAAAACTAAATAGGTTTTAAAGGATCTTAAAAACCCCGAAATAAATACTACAAATGCAATTATCAGAAGGGAAGACAATAATAACTCTCATTTGGGTAATAAAGTAGAACTGCTTTCACGGAAAATAATTAGACAATAAACACACACTTTAGACATATTTAGAAGTGTTTGAATGCCACATGGATTACTGCCACCTTTGGGAAGAAACTTGGAATGTAGTTGACAAGAAAGACTTGATTTTTTGATTTATTTATTCAGTCCATGCCACAGAGTTCATGCAGAAGCAGTAAGGTAGCATAATTTAGAAAATTCAAAAAGACTCTCAAAGCCAAACACACACACACACACACACGCACACACACACACACACACAAATAACTAAATGCCCATCTGTATTTTGGGAGATTGGGAGAGAGATTCAAGGGAAATTTTCAAAATCCAAAGAAGGTTATTAAGTTATTCTAATGTTAGAGGAAAATAAGGCACCAGAGCCAAGTGGTGAAAGTTTGTTTATATATTTAACTCTATGGTACTACAGCTGTTACTGTAGATACAGGGTTTTTCCTGGATAACATGGAAGAATATTCTCTAGAATACTGTTGAATAGAAGAATGAATATGAATATGAATAATAAATTCATACAGAATATAGATAATTTGGGGAAGGAAGCAAATACAACATTAGAACAATGATGCTTAAGTCAAAACACTATTCATACTTTCTTAGGTGTTTTCCACATTTATTGTTTCCACTTTCTCATCATCTGTTGACTTTTGGCTCATATCTATCGCCTATTTTAATTTTTAAAAATTTTATCCTGACTTGTTTGCTATTATAAATAATGCTATAATAAACATTATTTTAGCTAAAACTGTATGCACACTTAACATTTTTATTTTATTTAAGGTAGATTCTCAGAATGAATGGGGTGACTTAAATGCATCAAAACAGGGATAGAATAAACAGGTAAGTTTATAGGAAGAACAAATCCATCTCACTTTGAACATCTCTGAGGGAATAAGGGAGACAGCACTGGGCAGTGGGAAAGGTGAACTACCATGCAGCTGTATGGGGGTTCACACCTGTAATCCCGGCACTTTAGGAGGCCGAGGCAGGTGGATCACCTAAGGTTGGGCATTCCAGACCAGCCTGACCAACATGGAGAAACCCTGTCTCTACTAAAAATACAAAAGTAGCTGGGCATGGTGGTGCATGCCTGTAACCCCAGCTTCTCGGGAGGCTGAAGCAGCAGAATCTCTTGAACCTGGGAGGCAGAGGTTGCGATGAGCCGAGATCGCGCCATGCACTCTAGCCTGGGCAACAAGAACTCTGTCTCAAAAAAAAAAAAAGTAACGTAAAACTCAGGAATGCTGCAAAAAGAAAACAAAAGAGTATCAATGAATAGCTAAAAGTAAACACTAACTCATATTAGTATTCTACGTTGAAATAATTATTTCACACACCTCTTCGAACATTAAAAGGACTTCTAAAGTATGAGGTCATTAGTACATAATGCATTGTTTTAAATATCAGCACTCCTTCTAAAGTCATGTCATATTATGGAACACTAATTTGTGTAACAGGAGAAAAATATCATATTACATTCATGACTTTGAACTGTACATATAAATATTAATGAAGTCTCTCTGTTTTCTTCCATTCAGAGAAAACCAATATTTACTTTAATGCTACTTACTCAAAAACAGGACATCATCATGTCACCCTCATCATCCAAAACGTTTATTAAGCACACATATGATGCTTTTCTTTGGGGATTGTCTAATTCAGGGCTCAAATTCTCTCATGGCGATAGCATATGATGCCAGAAAAAAATAAGAACACAGCCTACCCTGCAGATATTGTGTTTAGGCATATGCATCTCTCATATATTTGTACCATCTACACTTCTGAGCTTGGACCAAGCCATTCATCATCATTATTACACACATAGCCAGTGATTATGATATTTACATACCTTAAATGATCCTTTGAAAAGCACCAGCTAAGGAAATGGCTATTCGCTTGAATAAACTATCTAGAAGATGAGTGGCTAATAACTGATGAAGTCATCCTGACTTTGATGCAATCTTTGACTTTACAGAGGTCTCTGATCCACTGACCACATTAATTTCTTATGATCTCTCAATTCCCTCCAGGTATCACTGTCCTTATCTAACACAGATTTCACAAATTATCATCATCTTCACTGTTTTTTCAAAGATTCTCAAATTCTTGCCTTTTATGCTCATTATTTTCAAGGGAGAAAAGTCAAAACTGGGATAATTCTTACTAGCTGTCTTCTTTTTAATATCACTAGACTTGGTGAAAAATCACACAACCAGCTTACTAGGTGCTGCAGTCTCATTTCAAGATCAAATACCACCAATCAGCATTCAATACAATTTGCCCTATTCCTAACCCTCTTCTTCTCTTTTTTAAAACCACCTGCCCTTTCTCTACCCTCACTTTCAATTGATGATTAATTCTAACCTTACACTCCACTGAAAAGCAACAGTCATCAAATGTGAATTTCCTCATCTTTTCTCACCACCAAACATATAAATCTACTTATATCATCAAGAACTTTTCTCCTTCTCTTTGCTACTAAAAGAGATGGCAGCCATGTTTATTGCAGCAAACACCAGCCTCTTCTTTGCTCCAAGCTCTCTCTCTCCACCTTCTTCTGGTTCATTTTCAGTGTTCTTATATGCACACAACCAAGTCATAATGAGCTGCGTTCATGAGCAAAACAGCAAGGAAAGCTCCCTTTTATCCCTAATATCCTTTAAATTTCACTTTATTCTTCAGCCCTCTGTCTAAGCAAAATTTCTTAAACATATTGTTTTGATTCACTGAATCAATTTCCTCACGTGATATTGACTTTGACATACTGCAATCTGGTTTCCACCCTTTACATGTTATTACACTATTTTTCCAAAACATCAAACACCTCTGTCTTGCTAAATAGAAAAGGAAGTTTTTCTTTGTTGTTGTTGTTTTGTTTTGTTTGTTTGTTTGTTTGTTTTTGGAGACACAGTCTTGCTCTGTCACCTAGGCTGGAGTGCTGCAGTGGTGTGATCTCGGCTCACTACAATCTCCACCTCCTGGGTTCAAGCGATTCTCGTGCCTGAGTCTCCCGAGTAACTGGGATTACAGGCACCCGCCACCACTCCCAGCTAATTTGTGTATTTTTAGTAGAGATAGGGTTTCACCATGTTGGCCAGGTTGGTCTTGAACTCCTTACCTCAGGTGACACCCCTGCCTCAGCCTCTCAAAGTGCTGTGATTACAGGCACGAGCCACCACGCCCAGCTGGAAGTGTCTTAACTTCAATGCACTAAATCTTTTGTTTAAAGTGACCTGTTAGCTATTCACATTTTCTTTAGAGTCCCTACTCTCTGTTTCTGTGATACTACATTTTCCTGTCTTTTTCTCTGTTATTCCTGTGCATCTTCCCCTGGTTTCTATTTCTCTATCAGCCTGTAAATGATTATATTCCTATGGATATGGACCTGGTTCCTCTTCTTTTTTACTCCTGTACTCTCTTCCTGATTAGCTCATCTAATTTCATACTTTTCAATGCTATTTCCTGGTAACAGTTCATATCTTTGTATTTCTAGCCAGGATTTTTCTTATGAGCTCCAGGTTAACATATTAATATATTCAACTTGTCTAACATTTCTAATTAGATATTTCACAGATATCTCAAACCTAGCTTGTTCAGAATGAAACACTTGATTCAGAACATGGTGCTTCAGTCAACCCACAGAGACATCTTTTTCCATCTTAGAAAAAGATGAATACGATCATCTGTCCAGTCATTAAAGTCAGGAACCCAGCCATCACGCTTTTCTATATCATCAATTTTACCTTCTAAATGTCTCTTAAATCTGTTTACTTCGTGTCATATAAGTCAGCCGCCATCCTAGTCCAATCAACATCATAACTTACTCCTCCTCTCAAGAGTCATCTTTTGACATAAAAATTGGATTATAATACTCCCCAGCATAATAATTTACCATTGTATTTATAATAAAATATGGAATTTTCCCTGGTTTTACATAAAAATACATGCCATTTTGAGGGAATTTCAGTCTGACTACATTCCATCATCTTCACGCTCTAACTCCATCTTTGTTTTCACCATCTCCCTAGGCTCACTCTGCTCCAAACACACTGGCTTTCATTCATTTCCTTAGTCCTGTTTCCCAGTTGTGGTATTTTCAAGCTGCACTAAGGACATTTCCACTCCCCTGAGCCCAGTCTTTGCGGAGTTTGTTTCATCTTATATATCACATCTCACTATACATATCCCTACATACTCTTGCTCCTACACATGCTTTCTAAAATATATTTTCTTCATTTTTTATCTATCTGAAAAACTTGTTTCCTTCAAAAACTTATCAAATCTATTATTTATTTAATATTTACTTGCTTTTGTTTTATCATTATTTATCATTTCAGTAGCCTATTAAAACTGAGTGCCACTAGTATATCATTTTTTTCAACACAGTAATCCAACCCGCTAATTTCACATCTTATATATGGTGGACACTTAATATTCATTAAATAAATGGCTATTATCATTATGTGTATGTGTATATATACACACGCACACATACATATGTATACAATTAGTGTGTCTTATAGGGTGGAATGTTTTCACTGTTGGTATACAGTATGATCTTAGATGGCATATGAAAAACCATTAATTTTTTTTTATTTTAAAAACATAAATAGGCCAGGCATGCTGGCTTACACCTATAACCCAACACTTTGGGAGGCCAAAGATGGAGAGCTGCTTGAGCCCATGAGGTTGAGACCATCCTGGGCAACATAGTAAGGTTCCATTTCTAAAATTTAAAAGAATAAAAAAGATAACTGTGGCCTGTAGTCCCAGCCACCATTTTAGGTGGCTGAGGTGGATCGCTTGAGTCTGTGAGGTTGAGGCTGAAGTGAGCCATGGTCATACCATTACATTGCAGTCTGGGTGACAGAGCAAGACCACATTACAAAAATAAATAAATAAATATACAACTTTATTATATTATAAATTATATTTTCTATGAATATTTGTATTACATAATAAATTATAAATTACATAGGTAAATTATAATATGCATTTCTTTTCATATGCTTAGAAAATATAGACCAGCTCTTAAACCCACAACTTTTCAGATAATATGCATGGGACATCACTAAATATTATCACTGAATTTGAGAGAAAATCTTGGATTTGTTATAATATAGGTGAGAATTAGCTATATGCAAGCTTTGAGAGTAGCTTATACATTTTTGAAATATGAGAACACTGGTCTAAGATAAGCTGAAAACTTGATGTTGTAGTAAATCCACTTACCAGAGGAAAAAGTGGAAATTTTAAAGGCTAGTGCACAGTTATTAACCTACTCTGGTAGATTGTATTTTTATGCACAAGTCCTCACTGCCCATCCCAGGAGGAGAAATACATTTCCCATGCCATATCTGTCAGGCTCGGCCATTTGACTTACTTTGAAAAATGAAAGTGAGCATAGGTTATGGGTTTAGAAGAAGCTGTCAAGGCCAGAACATGGCTAGCAGGATCCCTTTTTACCCTTTGTCACAAGAGCCAGCAATGTTCCCGATGGAGGTTGATCTGTGAGTCTAAGTTCCAAAATGAAGTTAAACGGGAAGAATGCTATAACTTGTGAAGGGTCTAAAATTTTGTTCTACTTACAAGCTAACACGGAAACCTGTCACAGTTTTATGGATGTTGGCAAAATATATATATGTATAGTAAATAAAGCAAAGATGTTGTATTACAGACAAAGGAATGTATTGCTCTGCAGAAATAGACAATCTTTTAAAGATAGACCTCTTCTGAACTTAATGCTTCATGGAATAAGTACTGTTGTTCACATATGTCAAACAGACATTTCCTAGAGTTGCAAAATCAATATGACATTCTAATTAAATAATGCCTAAAAAAACCCTAAGCTCCATGGACTTAATTTATTACAGTAATAACAATAGCTAGAGTATCATTATTTGCCCATGTTCCCCGAGCTTTGGTTCTTACAGGGCAGCACAAAGATGACCAGGGATACCTGCATATGGAGTGGGATGCTTTACAGGGAAGGATCCAACTAGCTTAGGGAACCCAAAACTTTTTAATGGGCAGCAAGACTGCCCAACATTTGCCCTGGAGAAAAGCAATGTCCTTATACTGTTCTTTCCTTGAAAAGACACAATTAGTGCCTGTTGCAAGACATGGAGAAATGCAAAAGACCCTTTAACAATAGTCACCTAACACAGTCAAACAACAATAGATATCTAGCATGAGTGAGAATTAAATTCTCATTATTGTGTGCCTCTGAGATTTGGGGCTTATCTATTACCCCATAGTCTAGCATAATCTAGACTATTCTGAATAGTATATCTATATCTGTTGATTTTATAGGAATATAGACATGAAATTTAGAAATTCCTTAAACTTCCAGAGCTATAGAAAAATTGCACACATATAAAAAGTATATACAAACACATTTTTCTTTAGCTAGAAGGCTTGTGACACATTATGAGATTTTAAAAAGTCTATAACCCGAACAATTCTAAAATAAGCCAACAATGTTTTTATAGCTCCCATGTATAGATATTTCGAATTTCCATTAATGTCTAAGCAGAAAGAGAATATTTTTTAAAAAACACAAAAGGAAATATACATATATGTGCCAGGAAGATGGAAAGTCCAGAAAGAAAATTGGTACTTTTCTTATTAATAAAAATATTATTTTCTGAGTATAATACTTGATATGATATAAGAATATTCTCTTATATCCAAGAACCCCCCCAAAAGTTTAGGTGTTATGTTTGGAATATGAATGTTTCTTCAACCTTTTACATAATATTTGCTTGGACTATATTTTTCTCTATCTAAAATGTTTGAGATCACACACACTGCTTATAAAATAAAATGATTGAAACAGAGAAATATAAGCCAGCTATTCTTTATATTCATACAAGACAACCAAATTTATCTTAAATTTTCTTGAATTACAGTCAAATTTCTCACTGAAATAGCACTGAGTAGAAGGATTTCTCTTTAAATCTGGAAGTATTTCAATCAAATTAAAAAGTCAAATAATATCATAAGGTAAATATATGTGGTTAATAAATGCTTTTCCTTACTGACCTTCAATTTAGAATTGAGATGTGCGTGTGTGCGTGTGTGTATGTGTGTGTGAGAAAGAGAGAGAAGGAGAGAGAGATTAAGAGAATACATTTTAAACTCTTAAGTCAAAAAGAGAAAATTAACTTATTAGTGTGTTAGTGCTCCAGGCTCCAGTGGTAGTCAAGCCATCTAAATCAGGGACTGAGTTAAGAAGGAGAGTTAGGAGAGGGGCAGACAACAGAGTGAATCTCAGAGTTAAAGGGACGAGTCAAGTCAAAGTTTATTAGAAAATGCGGAGACTGAAATTCCATACAGACATGCATTAAGTGAAGTCGAAGGGCCAGAGGGAAGACTGACATCAGGGTAACCAGGCAAGCTTCAGCTCCCGCTGTCTTCAGGTAGACGGTTGGAGCTAGGGCAGTGACTGCCTCTGGGAAGAGAGACCAGAGTTGTTTTCTAAAACAGCCCTTGACTCTAGTTCTTAACCCTCCTGCTGAGTGGGTTTAGCCCTCATTTTGAAGCACCAAAACCATGGAAATTGGGGTAGATCAGGAGTCCTTAATATGGAGTCTTAGAATTTGGAAAAATATTTACTTTTATAAATTTCTAACTGAAACTGAGCATTTTATTCGATATAAATGTAGGCAAAACCCACAAAAGCATTAATATTTACTGTAATGGTGTCTTTATTAGCAGGAGAAATCAGATATTTTTGTATCACATTGTAGTTGTTGCATCTATTTTGAAATATCTTTTATATTCATGACTACATCATAATACCTTTTATGATGGATCTTCTTTGTAACTTTGCAATATTTCATTTTACTAATTTAACACTTACATTCTAAGAAGAGGCTTATGGCTTCACTAGACTATCAACGGGATGGGAGATACAAAAAAAAACGGTTAAGAATCTTTTATACAGATGTGCGAATTTTCAGACTGTTCAAAAGTGTTGATAGTTTTAGAAATGGGATTGTTTTACCTTCTTAATGCATAAGAAAAAGCATCTAAATAGTCATTAATAGTTTAAAATTAACTGCATTCTGGGAAATGTTGAAAATTCTGAATTTATTTTTTGTCAAAGGAACATGTCATTTTTGTGTATGCACAAATATATCAGTAATGACAATTTCAAAATCAATGACAATGTGCACAGTGCCCATAATTATATCAGTATCAGGGATGGGAAGAACTTTGGATCAGGAATTCAATCTTCAGCAGGCCTCACACTACCTATGACAAACTCATTCTGTAAGCCTCAGATTCTTCACCTGAGTCAACTGGGCTGCATCATCTCCAAGAAGTCTTTCAGTTCTGTTGTTTAGTGATTTTAATATACACTAAATAAGTCATTTGTGATTTAATTAATAACACAATGCATTTAAAAATAATTAAAAAGCTTTCAACTTGATGTAAAATAGTTTGATTCAAAGAGGAAAAATATATATACACATACATTGTTTGACTAGTATCAATGTATAGCTGCAAAGACTGACATGTTTTTAAATATATATTCAGCTTATAGGTTGCTTTAAGTGCTATATTTTGTCATTTCATAAAGACCAGTAGCTTTACCAAGACTACCTTTCCTTTGTAAAGATAGACAATCTCTTTAAGACAGACCTTTTCAAAACTTAATGCTTCACCGAATAAGTACTGTTGTTCACATATGTCAAATAGACATTTCCTGGAGTCACAAGATGAATATGGCATTCTAATTATATAATGCCTAAAAAATAATGCCCATAATGTCTCCATGGGAAAAACCTGATTGAAGACTCTGCTAAACATTATCTATTACCTGAAATTTAAGAATTCCATGACAATGAAAAACTGCATCTCAGATCAGTAAGTCAGGTCTCTCTCACACCAGATTCTCCATGTTGTTAAATTAAAAATTGCGTCTCAGAAATGCCATGATACAGAATATTCGTAGATTGACCTAGATGAGCAATCAAAATCATCAAAGAAAGGATGAAAAAAGAATTTTAAGAAACATTTGAAACATTTTCTTTCTAAAATTGACAAAAATCCATTTCATCCAAATGAAAGGCCTCAAAATCTGTTAGCAAAGAAGAGTGGAGTGAAATGCAGTAAATGTATCTAAAATTATAAAATTGTTTTTAAAAGTGCCTTTCTCATTACATCAAAATGCAATTTTCAAGACAGAGACATTGTAACATGACTCTGTGTGCTGTGCTGTGTGTACAATAAAGAAAGCAAAATTAATCCCTTCCCCTGACAACCTCTAGAAATGAAAACCCATTACAGTAATAATATTTGTACTTAGGTCTTGATATTTTTGTGCTGAATTTGAATGCCATGAAATGATTATATATAGTGGTTGATGGGAACATATGTGCAGATAATTACATAAATAATCTTCTTTACTTAGGGACAAGGTAACTTTTTAGATTGGGTAAAACTAGTTGTAACCTAATAAAACTCTTTAATACTTTTCCATACTGCTGAAGCTTGAATTTTAGTATCCCAAAGATCAATTAGGGATATTTCACTTTTCACTGGGATCCAAGGACAGAATAAGCCCTGCAACTTCATGACCATTGGCCAGATGCCTATCCTCAAGATACAAGCATCTACTTGACTCATTAGCATCCTTAAAAATGTCAGGGATCTTATAGTGTTGCTCTGCTCTGAAAAGGAAGGTAACCTACAAAATTAAGAAGACAGCCTTTACAAAAATAATGTTTAAAAACCAGGGTACGTGTCTCACATATAAGAAAGAATTCTCCCTGGAACTGAAATACTAAACTATCCTTATTGACCCACCTAAGTTATCCTTCCATTTTTCTTTAGCCATGATGACTTTGATTTCAATCTGTGAAATGAAAGTTTCTTAAGATTTTTCACACAATATGTAGAAAAAACTACTACCTTGTTGCCTTCACTTTCTTCATTGTTCCTTCTTTTTATCTCACTGCAAATTAGCTTGTTTGCCTTCATTTGCCAGGAATGCTTACTTTAAAAGTCACCAATTATTTCTTAGTAGGATACATTGTCTTAGCATGATTCATTAGCAGGATACATTAGTCTACTTGGCAGCTACTTGCATGTCAATCTCTCGCTTTCTTAAAATTAAATAGTTATTTGTTGAATGAATAAACGAATGAATGCTTATACTCTCCTCTTTTACCTTCTCTGTTTTTAAGTGCTGCTTCTCTGCCATCTGATGCATACACATAGTTTTATTTTCTGCCTTTCTAGATGATGCTTAGTTATCTTACTGTTTTCTCTATAGTACTCTTTACCAAATTCTAGATCTTGATGTCCAAATGCCTGTTAAAAATTCCTTAAACAATTTCATCACCAATAGATTAAATTCAGTATGTCTCCTGATCATCACAATTTCTATTTTTGTTTATATTACTTATATCTCAGTTATTCAAGCTCAACATCTCAGTTTTTGTCAAAACTTCTCACTTTCCAATTAGACATGGAGTCTTGAAGTTTCTGCCTCTGTATTTTGTTTTGTGTTTTTTTTTCACTGATAACACTACGGTTCACATCAACAGTGCATTTTCTCTGAGCCTTTTAAGCATGAAATTACAGGCTTAGTTTTCCCCTGAAACCCTGATGCAAAACACGATGTATAGCATACTGTAATTGTTCCATAGACAGTGTATAAAACTAGTGAATTTTCCTACATAATCTCACCCCTTTCCAAACCACCTCTAATGAATTTTTCTTACTGAAAAGAAGTTTTGAAAATACCCTACTCCAGCTAAAATGAAAACAGAACATTGCAATAATTCTGCATTACTTAATGAACAAAATCCCAAACTCTTTTGTCTAATACACCGCAATTTTTTCCAACACTAACGTTCTTTTCTAAACCCTAATCCCATTTGTTTTGCTCCTCATTCTGGAATTCTGCTATTAGCTTCTTTAATATTTCAGTCCTTACTAAGACTAGAACTCTTACCTAAGTCTTGCCAATCTCCTTTCCAGAGATTAGAACTTTGATTCTGTCTCTAAGACAGTAAGTTAGAGTTGTACAATTCCTAAGAAAAAAATGCACTGCTAGAATGAACTCCCTCAAAAACAATGGGCATTCCTGTTATCACCCTTTGCAAATTTCTTTCTTTTCATATGCATCATTACAAGAAGTTACTATGAATTTTGAATGTCAAAGTGTATTTATTCACAAACTGAAATTTGTTTTCAATAAGAGGAATGGGTTTCCCCCAAGAAGGTGAATCTAATACCAGATCTAACCTCTACTCTGCTTACTGTTAGTGACTATGTCTGCAGATATTTTTTCTGTTAAAATATTCTAGAATATGTTTCATTTTATTCTTATAACAAATATGGCAAGCTTCCATGTGTTAATTGTTATCTATTTCTTATAAACCCATGGGACTATGACCTTATTAAGGAAAAGGAGTATGTTTTATATTTTATTGAATAATTCACTATAATTTGTACATTAGTTCATATAAAGAGGGTACTCAAATATTTATCAAATGAGTTTTATGCTCCATTCATTATCCCTTTTTACCTCATGACTCCACAATAGGGTTGCTACTGTCTTTTTGGCTCTTGACTTAAAGAGAAATTAGGGACAGCTATTCTGGTCATGATTGGTTCATAACTGAAAATATGTCCTAAAATAACCTGATATTAAAAAATGAAGATTCAGAGTTCTTGAAGGTCACAGAGAAGATTGAGAATTATTGATAAACTTTAACATTTTGGTCAATTTTAAGAATAAATTTGTCTTTTATTGGACATTGCTCAAAAATGTATTTTAAATTGGGGAGATGTTTATGCATGTGCAAACACAATGAACAAATTGTCCATTTATCTTGAAAAACAAGAATCATGAAATTTTAGAAGCAGAATAATATTTTGCAATAAAAGCTCACACTTTTCATTTTGCCAAAGAGAAAATTAACACAGAGAAATTTGCACTCCCAAGATCAAAAAGAGCCAGAATTTCAATAGCTGTAAGGGGAACTGAGTGGGATTCCTAGTCAGAAGGGAAAGCACTTTGAGAGAAGTCCTTGAAATACATATTGCCAATTTCTCCCTGATTGCCATTCTTCTGTTTTTCCTACTAGCTGCACATGATCACTCATCTAAAGACTACATTTTGAAGCGTCCTTTAAAATGGGTATGGCAATGAGATTAAATTGGTTGGGCTTCTTCTCTTCCTGTTTTTATACCTTCCCACCAGTTGGGATCCAGATCTAGTTTAAACTGAAAAGGTTAAGCAGAGTTTCCCAGTCCCTGGGCTGTGAATCAGTGCCTGTCTGTGGCCTGTTAGGAACTAGACCATACAGCAGGAGGGGAGCAGACGGCAAGGCAGCATCACCTCCTGTCATTAGATTCTCATAGGAGCACCAACCCTACTGTGAATTGCACATGTGAGGGATCTAGGCTGCACACACCTTATGAGAATCTAACTAATGCCTGATGATACAGGGTGGAACAGTTTCATCCTCAAACCATGCCCATCCCACCTCCACCACCCTGTCCATGGAAAAATTGTCTTCCATGAAACCAGTCCCTGGTGCCAAGAGGGTTGGGTACAACTAGGTTAAAACAACAATATAGAAGGAAACAGGGAGCATCTATGAGCTTATGGAGGATAGCTACCTACTTGCCTGAATTGCTTTCATATACCTGGATTATTGCATGAGGAATAATATTCTGAATGTTTGAAACATTGTATTTTTGGATGTCTTTTGATTGCAGTGTAGTCTGTGCCCTAATATGCCCTCAGGTCAGCTATCCGGATACATAGAACACAGAATTTTAGTGGTAAATGAGTCCTTAAAGAATTCCTGATCCAATCACTTATCTGCTTGCTGATAGATATACAATTAGGCAATTTCATTGAGTACTTGCAACTTCACTGAGTACTTCCAAGAGAAATATCTTGCAGACTATTTATCTTGTCATTAACTTACGAAGCTTTCCCCCACTAAAGCATCATGTTAAAAATATATGCATGTGAGAGCAGCAAATGAAAGTATACATCACTTAGAGAGAAATTTATGCTGTAGCACTATGTACTGTTCCTCTGAAGCATATATAACTTTGTTCTCCAAAGTTAACTTATTCCTTATGTTCTTATAACTGTTTATTCAAACATGGGATCACAAATAGTTAATGAGTAACTAATTGCTACCTAACAGGAACCATGCTTGGACAATATTCTTGTCCTCATGTTTGATTTAAAAAAACAAAAGTTATTAAAATAATTAAATTAGCAAGTCTAGTCAACATTACTAAGGCAAAGCACATACTTGTGTTGGGGTGTTAAACAGGAGGACCTAACATAATTTGGTGTTGAGAATTCTGAACTTTTTGTTTGAACTTATTTTTATATGTAATCTGTTATAGTGGTAAAATACTATTAATTTTGGCTGATCAATAAAATTTTGAGGGCATGAGGAGGAGTGTAAAGCAAGACATCATTTTTCATGGTGTGGTGAAAATAATCCTAGTGATAGAGAAAAATAACAGAAGAATTTCATGCACCCTCTTTATGTGTAAGACAGAATGGGGAGGAATCATCGAACCACAACCAGAAGTGAAAGAGAAGAACACACAAAAGAAGTTTTTGGCTGTCTATCCAGAGAATAATGCTTCTTTCCAACTGGCCCTATCTAGGTTAAGTAAGCAGAACTATATAACTATGTAATGCTTTGAGTGTGTGATTGTCAAAACTTTGAGTTTTAGGGTTATTGAAACAATAAAATATTGCTTGTATGTGTGCGTGTGAATGAATCTTATATAGGATGTATCCATTATGATATAGAAAACTCATTTTATAGATTAAAAATTGATTTCAATAATTTGAAATAACTTATAATAATGAGTTTCATATTACTAGATGTGAGAATTCGGGGAAGGCACTGAATTAGAATGTGACTAAAGGCATATATTGCCTACATGTTGGTTTGAACATTGCAACTCTACCTATTGCTAAGGCAATAGCATTAATAATAATAATAAAGCAGAGAGGAAGAAACAAGTCATTAGTCCTTCATGGTTATCCCTTTAAAGTCATGATATCTGTACTGTAGGATGGTCTGTAAAAACGAAAGAGAGGACAGATGGCAAGGCAGAACACAGCATAAGTTTGGATGGTATCCACCAGGAGGAAAATGCTTTATAATTGGTAAATACTATAATGAAATATGTTAATGCACATTACAAGGATTTAGAAGTCAAGGCCCATCTGTGTGAAACAAATATCACCAATAAAGATGTTTTCCCACTTGTATTATCAAAGGATCAAATAGTAATTTCAATCACAGTTCAGAAACAAGCCATATGTTAAAAGGTCTCTCACATCTCAAAGGCAGTAGTGTGTTATGTAGTCATATTTTCAGAAATAATAGGGAAGTTGCTTTCAAGCAATTCTTCATTATTTCCTATTTTCTTTTTCACAGTCTTTTAATTGATCTTATGTGTGTGGTTCTATCTGTTAGTTCACCACAGATTCAGAGGTACCGTTGAATCTCTCCAGAATGCCATTGTTAGTTCATAGTTTCTGATTTATAAAGAGTGCAAATGGGATTGATATATTCTGCCCCCACATCGGCCTCTGCCCTTCTTCATTTCCCTTTAAAATATTTCTGGAAGCCTATGAAATCTACAATTATTTCTCTTTGGACACTTTGCAATACAACTGAAAGTATATTTTGAAATACAGTATTGCTCATGCAAGCATTGGTATTGATTATGCAAAACAAATCTGCCTGTTATGGTGCACATATTGCAAAAAAAAAAATGCTATATTATGTGGACTGTGTTCTCTGTTGATGAAAAACATGTACCTGCTCACAGCTCTGATTCCAAAGGCCCAATTTACTAAAAATTAGTGATCCATCAGATTAATGGGCATAAAGCAATCTGCACTGTTGGCGCCTTGAAATTTCTTGCATCAGTCACCAGATCATGATTTACTAATAGGATTTCAGATCTTGCAAAATAGCACAATTCTAACCACATATTAATATTTAATCTGGCATTTTAAGTGCACCTAACAAAAGACCCTAGAGCTGCTGACAGGATCCTAAATTGTGAATTTCTTAAAAGGGAATTGAGCAGGTCCATAGTGATTTCATCAAAAAAAATAAATAAAAAGGAAAAGGAAAATAAATGTGTTTCTACATTTCTTATGTAGACCTCACAAGCCTGGGCTCTCATTTTTCTTAAAAGTATTTATCATGCATTTTTAGTTGCTTTATTAGAGAATCGCAAGACTGGATCTAGCGGCTGGCTGCAAAATGTACAATTTGATGACAGCCGATGCATTTTGCTTAATAAATTTTATATTAGACAATTTGTTCCTAAAATAATTCATTGGCACTTCCAAAATGTTGCTAAATGAGAGATGATACAGCCTATAAATCACTTGAATCACCTTATTTCTTGCTTCTAAGTAACTAAATCTGTTCTGTAGTAGTGAGTTGAAGCTTCTCAGTAGGCAAGTGTGTTTGCTTTATAATCTCAGGTTTACAGCTCTAGATTACCATCAGTGCCAAATTCCAGAGATATCCAGATCCATTTCAAATCAGAAAGTGCAAAAGAAGGGACAGTGACCTTACCTGCTGATGTTATCAATTATATGCCATTGTTAGATTTAACGTATATGATGAGTATACGAAATAGGTGTTGCATTACTTCCATTTGTTGAAAAAAATCATAATTTATGAAAGATATTTCTGTAATAACAGGATGCCACCTGTAATAACAAAATGTTTATTAGTGCACAAATGAGGGTTATAAATGATGTTGCTTATCTATGAAAAAAAAAAAAGACAACTTATTAGCCAAAGATAAATTGCTCAGCACAATCTCAATGAGATGCTAGGTTTGTCATGAAAAAAAAAAAAAAAAAAGCTTTTTATTTGCACAGACCAATGCCTTTATAATCCATTTAAGATAATATACTTGCCACTAGGTGGCTATTTCTGATCAGATCATTTTACCATTTTAATTACATTTTTAATATCCTGGCTGCATAAACAAAGATAAATTACAAACCCTGCACAATCTGGCTGCTAGCTCAGGCATAGTCAGTAATAATATCAGCTTTTGTTTGTGCCTTCTCTAATTAGATTCTGAAATCTAGGCTTTGTCAATCAATAATTTTAATTTTAGAATCGCTTTTTGATCTTGCATTTCATGTTTGTTTGGGAAAATGATCAGTAGGACAAAGCTGATAATTTATGCAGAAACAATCTCTCAGCAGAGCTACATGCACATTCCTCCCCATCAACAGAAGCCTGCAGACTAAGCTTGACACAGGTCTAATTAGCATGCAGATATGTCGCCTCATTGGCAATTCAAATTGCTTTTTTATAATGTACCTCAAATTGTGCTACTCAAACATTGTATTTGATTTCCAAAGCCCCCTGGGCATCCCATAATGTCTCCCTTCATCCTGGGTATGAAGCATTTATTGAACAGTCTGCTGAGACTGGCTGTCTTTTCGAAAACACCCAAACATCGTATTCCTGGGACCAGCTTTTCTTCTTGTCAGAGAGCAACTTGTTCTTCTGCGGAATTCCTTGTGCCACATTTGTAGGTTTAGAGATGACATGCTACCTCATGAGTTGCTTCTCCCACGTGGTTGATCTATAGAGGGCTTCACTCCTGTGCCACTCATTTTTAAAGTGGGGAAGAATGTCTGGTAAGCACACATTAATATGCAGCACATAACCACATCTCTGAATGCCAGTCCTCCATTCTTCATTAAACAAAAATGGCTGGATTGCAGGGATTGTTTTTCCTTTCTCTCACATACTTATGCACACATGCTCACATTTGCTTTCTTGGGCACACCTACATGCACACAACTACATCACGCGCATCGACACACCTATGCAAGACACCCACAGCACATCATTGTCAGGATGGAGTTATGTGTGAAAGTTGTCTGCTGCACACATGACAAATAAGGGGATTCCAGCATACACTGGGGCTTTTTAAAAATTCCTTTTTTTTTAACCATGCAGCAACAAGTGGCAGAATCAATGGTGTACAGTTATTCAGCAATGTAATTCATTTCACTGGCTTTGGCTCCTAGCCAGATCCGCCATCTGTCTCTAGCTCTCTCTCTCCCCCTCTCTCTCCCTCTCCCTCTCTTTCGCTTGAATTTGTCCTACATTTCGTAATGTTACGTGCCTGCCATCCTTATCCTATGCCAGAGATACAACACCAGTCTCACCCCCATTCCGGCGTGGAATTCTCTGAGTTCGGTGGCACTTGGGATATTCCACTTCAGTGCCATGGGAAGAAAATGGTAAGCAAAAAGCAAAAGGAATAATGCCAAAAAAAAAAAAAAAAAAAAAATTATAGTGTTCTGGTATCCAATTGCTCCTGCTTCAGCCTTTTATCCAAAGCCTTGAGATGGATCTGCCTCATCCAGGAAGTTTTCCTGCTTCGTTAGAGTATCTTCGTTTTCTTTATCAGACGCTGGCTGGCACTCCACGCCAGTGCACGGCTCCATGGAATGCCTGCTGTTGGACACTTGCAGAGCTCTGCCACCAAGCAACCTCCTGCGTTGGAAATCGGGGGACTACTCCAGGATCTTATGCGTGCTTGCTGTTTGAAGCTGCAGAAAAGTGAATAATCAATTAAGTATTGATTTCTTGTAAGATTTGGTAAATTTCAAAGGCAAGACAAAGAGGATGGCTTAAGGAAACACTGCAGGGACTTGGCGTAAATTAGACAACTAACGGAAGTGCAGAATAAAATAACACCTCAACTGAAGATTTCCTTGGAAGAATTAGCACTAGCTATTGGAAGACAATGGTGGATTTAATCAAAACAGCAGGCATGCAAGAATTTTACCCGTGAACCAGAAAAAGGAGCTAATTATAACCACCTTTTTAATGGAGCTAATTTGACTGAATGGATGCAAATGTGCTTTATTTATGGATGAAGAAGCAAGCCTTACTGCATGATCTTGGGATCATCGGATCTGCTAAGCTTTGCAGCTCCTGTTACCTTCAGTACATTTTTTATTTCCAGAGAAGGTATTTATATGTAAACAACAGCTAACCATGCAAAAGATTCATCGGAACAATATACTGTGGTATATGAGATATAATCATAATTTTGCAGCCTCTCAGGATTTCCTCTAACTTGGAGGTTTTGCAACCTTTGTGTGCAATGGGTTATGGTAAACAATAAATGAATGATGCTAAAGTGTTGTGATTTTTCAATGTGTAGTTTATTAATTTTAGCTTTCTTAACATGTTGATTCTGAATTATTTGCAATAAATCCATATGAAAGAAAAGGAATTGCTGGGTGGGGTTTTTTAATGCATTTGCAGTCTTCTTAGAGATCGGAATGTGTAGGTCCCACCAGCCCATGAGCTCTGTAATTATAAAAGAATGGTAAAAAATTTGACAATTTGAAGAATTGGTTTTATAATGGGAACAATGTGTTATAATCAGTAAAAGGAGACTTGTTATGTTTTCTGTCTGTGTAGAATGTTCTTGAGTGGTTAACTCCTCTGTTGCTGATGAGAAGTAAATACTAGGACTGGCAATAAGCAGAGATTGTAATGACAATGCTTTGTTCCTATGCATCCTCATATTTCAAGCCAAAGTGCATTTTAAGCATTTCCTTCTATTTCTATTATTTTCCTTTCCATTTTTGTTCTTTTCATCATTTTTTCTGTCTTGCAATCTACGTTCCCTGAGCAACCATAGGAACCAAGTTACATTAAGCTTCAACACAAAGACCTTGTAAGAATAATGAATCCTCATTTGCATCGACATTTGTATTCAGATTTGCCAGGCTATAAACTTGGCAGATCAAGCGGAATATTAAGTAGAGGCTTCCATGGTAAATTGTGGCTCTTGAAATTGCTAACTACCCCCTCCCCTTTTTTTCTCTCTCTATCTGTGATGGCAGGTGAAGTCTCATGACTACTTGCTTCTTAAGAAGCGTATTGGCTCCTTCATCTTTCATTATATGATGTCAGTCTCAAGCAGAAGACGGGCAAAGCCAGTTGTAGGTGTTCTAGTTGAAGGTACAAAATGTCATGGGAATGGAGCATTAATTCTAGAGTCCATATATCACAAGAGGTGTCTTTAAGTAGTTGAAGCTGTAAGAAAATTAATTCTCACGTGTGGGCTAAGGTTTGATCTTTCTGGTATGTTCAAAATGCATTAACTTCATGAAAGTTCACACTCATTTTTTAAAACTTCTAAAGGTTGGAGGAGGACCAAGGTAGCTCTTTACTCACAAAATAATGCAGTTACACCATTCTGAGTCATCCTCACTGATCTGCTCATGCCCATTCTTGAAATATTTCAAATGCCTCATTCTATTAAGCCTCCATGGATTGACTGAGTCAATCCTGAGTTTTGCTTGATTCTGAAATGGTAAAATAGGAATAGTTATACTTACTGTAAGCAAACTTTTAAATTCAGCAATATAACCTATAAGGTCATTTCTACAACGCAGCCAACAATGGGATGAAAAATGTAGACTTTAATTTCCATGCTTGGTCCACCCTATGTGATGCCAAACAAGTGAGTAATCGGAAACATTTGTGCATAACTTAATTTTTCATGCATTACCCCAGTGTTTCAGATTTCTGTAAACAGAGCCTAAATCTATGACCTATTAACAAACTCTCACTTCTTGCCATCCCTTTTTCTCTCTAGAACCTTTCACTAGTGGGGAGCAATAAAACATATTAGAACTAACAAACTTACAATGGATATTTAATAGTGGTTTTTCTTTTTATTCTATTTTTAAAAATATAAATAGAGTAAATGATAACATGTAGGCTGAATTTATCATAAAGACATTTTCTTACGGTATATTGCAAGGAACTATGAACTTGTAGTAACTACTATAAGCAACTGACAGGTAAGTCTTACTCTAGGTTGAGGTAAAGTTTAATTGTATATGGAAAAAAAAAATTGGAGAATGTTTCATGAAAGATGCTAGACTTTTTTTTTGAAAAACATACCAGCAAATATGTAGAATGAGGAGTCACACTTTATAAGCTTCCATAAACTTGTAAAACTATGTATAATAATCTTTCCATAGTGTACACTGGTATGATATTAATAAATCACAATGTAGCACATTTTAAAGTAGGGTTTTAGCTATTTTTCTTAGTAACTGAGTTTTAAATCTGAGAAGAAAAATGTAAATTATGACTTTTTGGGAAACTATATGCTTGTATTCCACAATTGAACTTTTAAGGAAAATAAACTATTAGATAGTTTGGTACTAAGTACCTCTGTACTGAAAAACAAGAGTATTGCCACTATCTGGCAATATTGTACTTTTATATTTGCTCTTTTATGTGAAAAAGATGGAAGCATGATAACTAACATAAAGTTGCCTTGATCTAATAATAATAGTAATCTCTGATTACTATCAGAATTAGAAACAATATTTACATGGAACTCTTTTTCTAGGGTCCTAATGATAACATCTGATGACAAAGTGTAACCATCAACTTTAACACACAATGCAAACAAAGATTAGAGACTGATATATTAGTTTGAAACAATGTTGTTTATACATGTGAAACAAGGACATGACTGCATCATTTTTAACATATGTTTGCTGTTTCATATAAATCTGAAATTCAATTGATTAGGCTTCAAAACGATATTTTTTTTCTAATAGATGGTGTTGATCATTTTATTTAAAAAAAGTAAGTATACATTTGGTTCATATTCAAAGAATATATTTTGGTTGTCATTCAAATAAAATTTAGAAAGGAAAAGATTTACATTTATACGTTTCTTCAGCACTGCCCATCAATTTGAAACCGTCTTCTTTAATAAATGCTAATGATTTGGTTGATTACGTTTGTGCATGTACTTACCATGCAGTTTTGGGAATCAACACACTGATGAACCTCTATCAAGAAGAGAAATTATAGCATTAGCTCATTTGCTTTCTAAACAGCAGGAGTGAAAATTCTATCCAAAATAATATTAATGATACTGTTTTAGCATCCGCATAGAAAAGCACGTACAATTTCTTATCAGTGTTTTGTAGATATGGTTCATATTTATTGACTATTATCTCTTCCTTCTGTGTAGGAATACAACTGGGTACGTATTTTAAGCCAGCAAATCAAAACCAAAACCAAAAACACACTAAAATGCCCGCTTAAAATTGAAGTGTCTCATCCAAATTTGAGAAGGGAGCAAGCCTATTTGTGCCCCTTGCATAGGAAAATAGCACGATGACATAAATTCAGGGCAATTTCTCTGTGTTGTCTTTCTGTTTCTATTAGAGGATTTTTTACTAACTGGTCAAAATGCACATTATCATTACATTTTTCCCACCTTACCTTATGTAGCCACTGTTACACTCACTAGTAAGGTTGTTAGCCAGAGGAACAACGCCCAGAAAACAGGGCGGGGCATTCCAGGGCCAGTAAGTCCTTGTCCTATATAGATTAGAGCAGTGGAGCCCCATGTGTGTTAAACTGAGAACTTGAGCCTTGCTGAATTTAACATTAACGTGTTTTGTTCGTCTTTTTAGTAGGGTAGCTGAGGGCTTTGCCGTATTTATAAAGCACTCAGAATTGTAAGACTTAGGCCACAACATTTAGAACACACGCACATTCATTACTTGACCTTTAAAGTCAGTTTAATGTTTTCACTTTTACTAAGACGGAAATAATCAACAGCACTGTTTTGATTACATTTTCTTCTACCCAAATAATGAAGGGGAAATTTCTAGACCTATAAGAATATACATGCATATATCTTTGAATATATAAAATTATAAAAATAAACATTTATTTAAGTAATTATATATGAACTATATAAACATATAAAATATTTATATATAAACAGGATAGATATACAAAATAGGATAATTTATTCTCAACTATAGGAAGATATGTAGATGGATATAGATAGATACATATCTATATACATATAGATATTTATATGATGTCAGTCTCAAGCAGAAGAAAGGAAAGCCAGTAGTAGGTGCTCTAGTTGAAGATACAAAATGACATGTGACTGGAGTATTAATTCTAGAGGCCATATAAAGATATTTATATCTATATGTGGATAGATAGATACAGATATAATTGCTTTCTTCTCAGAATTTAAATTGTATATACATCATTGCTACTTAGAGAACTATTAACAGTTCATAACTACAAATTCTTTCAATTAAGAATAGAAAATGTGTGTTTACTTATATGGTATATGTATTTGTGTACGTATACATGACCAAATGTGTTTGATGGTAAAAATGGATGATTGAGATATATATGTGTGTATATATATATCCCAAGAAATGAAGAAATCAAAGTAGAAGATAGAAAAAATCCCCAAAGCATAGGATCAAATAAAAATTATTCTCACTTTTGATATCACCTGATAGTCTCCATAATTAAATAAAAACACAGGTTTAATTTTTATATTTAAATACTTAGTCTGATCTTTTTATAATTCATAGAAGAGGCCATTCCAGGAATAAATAGAAAGACTTACTAATATTTCAGTAATTTTGAGATCATATGGAATATTTTACTTCAATCATGAGGAAAACATATTCTATAATGATTACAATGACATGAAAGAATTAAATTAATGTGTATTTAATTCTTTGTCTTAAGAGTTCCTTTTAAATACTAATTACTTAAAAATTAATTGGGGCAAGATTTTATATGTCATACCTACTTTGTGTTACCAATTGTTACTGTAAAATAATTTTAAATAATCATTCAACATCTTTTTTATAATAGTCTTATTTCTAAATACACTGAAAATTGTTAAGTATAATGATACTCATCTAGGTAGCTGTAAGAAAACAGCAAAAATTCTTATTTTTATTTCAACTACTATCTTCATCAAACTAGACTACATTCTTTCTCAGACACCTGAGACATAAATCAGACATCCCTCCCGCTTTTCTCTCTACAAGGACTTACCTACATCCACTTCAATTTTTTTTTCAGCAAAATATTCACCAATTGACTACTGTCTCACTTATTGGACATTCTGACACTAGTAGGCAAGCCTCAATTTCAGGACCCAACTTGAAATGGACAGCCTCTCAGAAAAACATTTTTTTCTAATTTTCTGGTTTTGATTAATCTTCCAAGTCAGTGGGCTAGGTTAGTCAGCTGTAATGTGGGAAGGGCTTCCTGCCCTAAATTTTAAAATATCACCCAACGAACTTCACAGTTTCCTCTGAAGGTACTACTCACTCTGTTTGTTCATATAGGTAATCACATCTCAGTTGAGTCAGTTTCACATCTTCAATCAATGACTGTGTTCTTCACTCCTTAGTTCTCTTTCTAAATGAATTTACCTTCTTCCTACTTCACTAAACTATTTATCATTTTAAATATTTTATACTGTCCCCTAACCTGTTCTTTTCATTGCTATTAATGCTGAAAAGTGCCCTTTACTTTAGAAATCTGACCTCTTTCATGAAGCTTTACTGATCAAGTAGCTATAAAATGAAACTATTTCTCCCATTTTCAAACAGCAAAATGTACAGCAATCATGAATTACATGTACATGATATATGTTCATTCACTGGCATCTTCCCATATCATCATACAAGCTATGAGATATATATATATATAGATATAGATATTATATATCTCTCTCTATATAAAACAATGCAACACAGATGCGTGGAGCCTCTGTTTTGTGTCATGCACTTTTATAAAAGCTTTATGACTATAAAGGTGAGCTAGACAGAGAAGGTAAGCAATATGAAAATCTACTAAGGAAGGTATACACAATCTTACAGTTAGACATTTTGTTCATTCTTATGCACATATGGAAGGTCTTTGGGAATTCAATTACAATTCAAAATGCTACCTAAATAAATCATAAACTTTCTATTGTAATTCCATTTGGTAACCGTGTGGTGGTTCAACTATCCTTAGCAATGACAGCTTAGAACAGACTACTTCATACTATTAAAAATCACTGAGATTATAACAGCTTTTGTTTATGCAGATTATAGTTAATAGCATCTATCATATTATAAAATAAAACATAAATTATATTTTAAAATTATTCCTCAATTAATCTAAAATAACAAATATAAACACATTAAATGTTAACATAAACAGTATACTATACTAAAACAATGATATTTTTCAAAATAAAAAAGCAAGGAAAATGTTGCTGTATTATACTTTAGCGAATCTTTTTAACATGGCTTAATACAAGATGCTGAATTTTAATATCTGTTGTTACATTTAGTCTTGCAATATGTTATTTGGGTTGTGGTTATGAAGAAAATACACATTTCCACAAATATATAATTGAAACAAATGAAGGACATTTTAGCAAACTTCTCAGTTAATTGTAGATATTCTTCTTTGATACACCAAACACCAACAAGTAGTCATTTCTTAAAAGTTAGTTGCAACAGGGAATGAGAAACCATATCAATGAAT